CCAGTAGAGGGTGATGCCGGAGGGGGGCGTGTCCTTGGTATCGCAGAGGAGAGAGGAAGGGAATGGTGGGACGTGGGAAAGCAGGGATGCCTTCGTCTTGGGCTGAGGTCGGGCCGGGCTTGCTCCTGCTCTGACTGTGAACCCCGGTCCAGCACAAGCGGGAGCCCCCAAGAAGGACCGGGAGCCCCACTGCGCTGTTGCTTCAGTGCTACCGTTCTGCTGGGCTTCGATAAAGCTCACACCCGCCCTGCCTCCTGCCCAGATCGGGCCTTCATTTTTTTGTGATAACTCAATGCAGATTAGTACTACTCTTACTATTATTATTATTATTATTATTAAGATGGTTATTACTCCTGCTGTCACCTCCACGAACTGCAGAATCATTCCCTGCTGTTCATGTTCAGGTATCTCACTGTAATGACACCCTGTTGCCACCAGATGGCAGTGCTGTGCAGTGTGGCGCATCTCATTCCAGGACCGACGATGTTTGTTGACGTGTGTATCTATATTAAAACAAAAATAAAAAAAAGTTATGGTTTAAAAGAAAAGAGAGCAAAAGCCCCAAATAAAAGCTATGTTGATGTGGTTTTATTCAATTTAAGCGCATTCCCAGTTGCTCCCGTTTTTATGGGGGTCTGTACTTTACGGATAGGTGTAGATTACTCGAGCTGCATGCTGTCGAAAGGCAAGAGGAAAAGCTGCTGGTTCCGACAGTCCTCCCTAGCCCTCGATTTTGAAGTCTGATCTCTCAGGCACGGTGCTTCAACCCCCACCGAAGCCCTGAACCCTTCTCTTTCCTGTCTTGCTGGCGCTGGGCTTGTCAAGGCGTATCGCCTTGGCAGAAGAGGAAACTCCTGCACTGCACCTGGGAGTGCGGTACTGCAACGCCGACAAGCCCCGAAGAAACTGAACTGAGAGAACCGGATCGATCTATGTACCCCCCCCCTGCAGCGATCCGGCCTTGAGCCCTCAAAGCTGGTGCCGTCAACCTCCCGGCCAGCAGGGGGCAGTCGCTTTTCTTTTATCTTCGCTTAAAGAGTGTATAGTTTCTGTTCTACGTGCTCGATTGTTTTGTTTTTTTCCCTCTCTCGAAATGAAATAAATTTGCGGCTACGTGTGGCCAAAACACATCTGAGAAGTAAACAATAAAACAAGAATTAAAATAAATGATTGTGTCGGTCGAAACGGAGGCCCGGGCCTCCGGGCTAAGGTTGCTAGGTAACCGTCGGGGGTCACCTCGAGGCCATATAGCAACCAGGCCCTTCCGAACCGAGAGTTTTCTTTTAAAAGTTTATTATTATAATTTGTTGTTAATTATAGCTGCTGTTGTTGGGAAAGCGTCCACGTCATGCAGGGAGCGATATATCAGGTAAGAATGAGTCTGTTCCCCCCCAAAAGTGGGGGAAAACAATGACCTGTAATAGATTTCGGCGTCATTATTTGACATGAAGCGGGATACGTGGCCTCAGGTTTGCTTGAGAAGTCGGGGGGACGTTTTCATTAAAAATCAATTTCACAGACCGAGGAACCGGGCTGGAGTCGGTTTTCTGAAGTTTATTTCATGTATGTGTACAAAAAAAAATACAGACACGGCATCGCCGTGGGCTTCAACGTCAAGTTGTGCGAAGTGTAGATTTCTCTGTTTATTTTCTATATACAATGAAGAAGGCCGAGCGAGTGCTGACCACTTAACACTTAGGGGTTCGTATAGAGAGGTGTCATTTTTCTGTATTGTAGAGAAATGAAAGAAAATGACAAGAGAGGGGCTGGCTCTGTAGATGACTCCCCCGAATCCAGTTCAGTCTGTATCCGTCGGGCGCACAGGGGCGGGGCGGCGCTGATTTGCAGGTGGGCTCCGATCCCAAGGCATTAAAGGGATCGCCCCACACACACAAACACACAACAGCAGCAAGTAAAAATATCGTACAACGTAAGTTAACACAAGCAGCGCGAGAAGAGAAATCAGTCAGGTAGAATTCAATCATGGCTCTGGAGCTGTCCAGGAATCTGGAGGGTTTCTGCTCTTGTAACGCTTGGCAGAGGAGAGAAGAGGGAGAAACCGGAATGATGATGATGATGATGATAATAATAATTGCTTACACTTATATATCGCTTTTCTGGACCCTCCACTCAGAGCGCTTTACAGGTCATGGGGATCCCCTCCACCTCCACCAGTGTGCACCCCCACCTGGGTGAGGCGCCAGTCCGCTCCCCACACCCCAGCTCTCAGTGGGGAGGAGAGCAGAGTGATGGAGCCAGTTCAGAGAGGGGGGTTATCAGGAGGCCATGATGGGTAAAGGCCAGGGGGGAAATTTGGCCAGGACACCGGGGTAACACACCTACTCTTTTCAAGAAACGCCCTGGGATTTTGATCCCTGATGATCGTTGTCCTGAGCACTTGGTGTCCAATGCTCCGGGCTGAGATCGCTGGGAGGAGGAGGAGGAGGAGACGGAGGGGTCTGCGAGAGGGAGGGAGGAAGGAAGACTGACTGAGCCACGTATGTTGTTCTGTGAGCAGAAGCGACAGGCGCTATATGAGCGCCCAGTGCTGTACCCAGGTTTGCCCACCTCAGAGGTCCTGTAGTGCAGCAGCAGATGATGTCGTCGTGTTTTTGGTTGACGAGCGAGTCCTGGATCTCCTCCTCCTCCGGTCGTGTCTCCCGTCTGGATCGTCACCTCTGCGGGGGAAACCGCACCAGAGGGGCTGTCGGGAAGGGGCAGCACCACGCCGACAGGACCGCTCCGCCACAGCGCGGACGAACGGGGGGGGGGCTTCCAGACACAGGCACTGGTCCTGCCACCACGGAGCCAGTTTCTGTCCCGACAGCGTCGGACCAGCGGTCAGCCGGCCTCTTTTCAGTCATTTTCTTCTCATGTGAATTTATTCTGCATTTGATTTAATTCTACTCGGAGATCATTATTGGCCGAGCTGCCACCCATATCCATAATAATAATAATGTTTCTTTATTAGCCCTATACAATTTCTTGTATTAGGAATTCGTCTTTTCGCATTCCATGGAGACACAGACAGGGAGAGAAGCTTGGGGTCAGAGCGCAGGGTCTGCCATTGTACGGCACCCCTGGAGCAGTTAGGGTTAAGGGCCTTGCTCAGGGGCCCAACGGAGTAGGATTCCTCTGCCGGCCGCGGGATTTGAACCGGCAACCTCCCAGCCACAGGCGCAGATCCTCAGCCACAGAGCCACCGCTCCGCCCCGGACCGGCTTATACGTCTTACAGAGCTTCCGTGTGAAAATGCAAAGTTCACAACAGACAGGCTGACGAACATAACGAGAGCGCTTGAAACGGCGGTAAGGCGGAGCTCTTTTGGAGCGATTTTCCGTGAATGATCTATCCACCCGTTTTCCGACTGCTTCTTCCTCTTGAGGGTGGCAGGGGAGCGACCCTCCACGGACACCGGCCCACATGGGCACAGATCCACACAGGCTCACAGCAGGGCCCCCTGGAGGAAACTACATGAACAGGGGCGGGGGGGAACATGCAAACTCCACCCAGACAGCACCCCGGGTCCAGAATTGAACCCAGGGCGCCAGCGCTGCGAGGCAGCAGTGCTGACCCCTGCCCCACCGCCCTGCGCCCGTCAACGATCGCCACTTCGTTTTCAGGCCTGCGCCTACCCTCAGTTCAGGGG